ACCCACCCCTGCACACCCACCCCTGCACACCCACCCCTGCACCGGACCCTCCCCTGACCCCACCCCCCTGCACACCCACCCCTGCACACCCACCCTTGCACCGGCCCCTCCCCTGACCCCACCCCCCTGCACACCCGCCCCTGCACACCCACCCCTGCACTGGCCCCCGACAGCGGCTTCCCTGGCCCCACCACCCGCACACCCGCCCCTGCGCACCCACCCCCGCACACCCACCCCTGCACGGGCCCCCGACAGCGGCTCCCCTGGCCCCACCCCCCGCACACCCGCCCCTGCACACCTCGCTGCCCCGGCCTGCGGCCCCGCCCCCCGCGCCCCAGCCCCCGACAGCGGCTCCCCTGGCCCCACCCACCCCCTGCACACTCACCCCTGCACCGGCCCCCGACGGCGGCGGCTGCCCTCGGCCCCACCCACCCTCGCGCCCGCCGCGGCCCCGCCCCAGAGCCGGGCCTCGGCCCCGCCGCGGCTCCGCGCCGGTCCCCGGCCAGCGAGGCCCGCCTCGTCCCGGGCGCCGCTGGAGCCCGCGGCGCCCGACCCCACTCGCCCCGCCGCCTCGACGCCCCGCCGGACCCGTCCGGACGGCGCGGGGAGGGCCCGGTACCTTTAATTCGCCCAGCTCCGCCATCTTGAGACATCGCAGGCGCCCCAGCCCGGGCCCGAGCTCAGGCCCAGGGACCGGCGCACAACTCTCCGCCCCGGCGCCGGCCGCAAATGCCGCCTGCTCCGCCCCGTCCGGCCCCGACGCCGCCCGCCCCGCCCCGCCCGCCGCCCCGGGCACGCCGGCCCCGCGGCCCCGCCCTCCGCCGGCCCCGGCTCGCCCCGGGCGGTGGGCGCGAGCAGGGGGGGCCCGCGCGGAGCGCGCCCGCGAGCGGGGGCCCCGGCGGGGCGGGGCGGCTCCGGGAGCCGACGACGCCGGGGAGAGGGCGGGGGGGGGGGGAGCGGGCCGGGCCCGAGCGGGAGGGGGCGGCGGGGCCGGACGCCCGCGCTCCCAAGTTGAGCCGGCCGCCGCCGGGGCGCCCCGGCTTGGGGCTCAGGGAGGAGATCGGGGTCCGGGGGCCCCGATCAGCGCCGCGGCTCCGCCCGGCCCCTCACCCCCAACCCCACCCCGAATCAGCGACGGCTCGGCTCTGGGTCCGCACTCGGAACCCGCAGTCAGCGGCAGAATCACAAAGTTTGCGGTGGAGAGCGGGACTTACCGGCGGCGGGCGGCGGGCGGCGGGGGACGGGGCGGGCGGGGACGGGGCCCGCGGCCGCCCGAGCGCCGAGCACACAGCTGGACGCCGCGGCCCCGCCCGGCCCGGGCTCCGGCGGAGGCCGTCCTCTCCCGAGCCCGCCCGGGCCGCGGGGAGGGAGGGGACGGAGGGGAGGGGGCAGGGAGGGGGGCGGAAGGGCGGAGCCCCGGGGGACGGGGAGGGACTCCCGGCCAGGCGGGAGAAATCAACTCCTCCGGCGAGCCGAGCGGCGGAGGGCGGGTTCGGGGTCCGGCCCGACCGGCCGGGCGCCTCGCGCCGAGGCCCAGCCCCGGGGTGCGGACCTCATCCCGACGCACGTTCGTTCCCCAGGCACCACACACTTGGGTCCAGATGGAAGTGAAAAGGGAGGGGTTTTCTGACCCTCCAGAGCCCACGTCTGTCGGCGAAGCTTCGCTCGAGCAGGGGTGAGTAAGCCTGCGCCCGCCCGGGAAGGGGGGGGGGGGGGCCTTCGGCACTTTCTCAGACAGTCCTTGTGATGTTACCGCCGTCTGGGGCCTCGGTGGTCATGGAATCTGCTCAATGCGTAGTTGAAAAAGAGGGGCGCATGCCTATCATCGTAGCTTCTCAGGAGGCTGGGATTTGAGGATTGAGGTTTGAAGCCAGCGCTGGCTGAAAAGTTTATGAGACTCATGTCCAATTAGCCAGCAAAAAGCCAGAAGTGGAGCTGTGTGGCTCAAGTACTAGAGCGCCAGCCTTGAGTGGAAAAAGCTAGGATGGAGCATCCTCTATCCCGAGTTCAAATCCTAATGATGGCACATGCATACACACACAGTGAGCCCGATGCCAGTGGCTCACACCTGTAATCCTAGCTACTCAGGAGGCTGAGATCTGAGGGCTGTGGTTTGAAAACAGCCTAGAAGTCTATGAGACTCTTATCTCTAATTAACTACCAAAGAAAGAAGTAGAGCCGTGGCTCAAGTGGTAGAGTTCTAGCCTTGACCACAGACCCTGAGTTTAAGCCCCGGGACTGGCAGACACACACAAGTCTGAACACCATCACCATGCCATAAAACTGCCCACTCCTACCCAAATACTCCAGCAATCTGAAGCCAGAAGGAAAATGAGGAGGGATGTAAGGATGGTAAATGCCTGCCCAAGTTCTGAACAGACAGCACCCCCACCCCAAAAAAAGAAAAGAAGAAGAGAGATCACGATTATTTAGGGAAAAGATTTATGGAATTAAAGGCAATTTCAGGGATTGGAGTTGGGGTTTGTGGGTTAGAGATTATTTCAGGAAGCCACACACTGGGACTATGTTAATATCACTGGCTTCTCCCACAGTCCAGCCATCCTGGGCTCAGTTTCCACCAGCTCAAGAGTGAGCAGAAGTGCAGGCTTCCATTCCTAAAGCTGTATTCTGACTCACATGTGTGTTTAGGAAAATGATCTCCCCCTCTCTGGACCCTTCTTGCTGTAGTTTCCTCTTTCTTCCCACTCCAGATATAATGAGAAACATAACAGTCCTTTGACATTTTTTGCTAACAAAGAGAACAGAAAGAGCCGGGTACAGGTGGCTCACGCTTCTAACCCTTGCTGCTCAGAAGGCTGAGGTCTGAGGATTGTGGTTCAAAGCCGGCCCAAGCAGGAAAGGTCTGTGAGATGCATCTCCAATTAGCCACAAAAAGCAGGTGGAGTTGTGGCTCAAGTGGTAGAGCACAAGCCTTCAAACAAACAAGCTAAGGAACAATGCTCAGGACTTGAACCCTGAGTTCAAGCCCCAGTAACAGCACCAAATAAAATGAAGAGCAGGAAGGAAAAGATAGGTTCTGCTCCCCTTCATAGAAATGACTTTTCCCTTCTCCATCAATCCCTCTTCTCTCCATTTTCTCAGCCTTAAAGCAATCCTGTGCCCAGCCACACAACACCCAAGCTAGTTGATACCTTCTTTAGGATCTGATTTACACCTCTCAGTTGGTCTTTTCTGCCTTCAGCCAAACTCTGGAGGCCTGGTCTTCCATCTCAGCCTCTCCTCAGTCTTCTCTCAGCCCTGTCAGCTTCCCCAACAAAGCTGGTCAGCCTGACTCAATGTAACCCAGCAGAGGGCGGGTTGAAAGAAGGAATGGGGTTTCGAGTGACAGCCACCAGAGACCCTGATTTTGGAAGAACTTCACCTAGCTGGCTTTCTGAAGGAGGGGCAGGAAGGGGTGGAGACAGGGGCAGTGACTGAGAGATGCGGTTTTTTAATTCCTAAAAGAAAGCAAGGACAAGGTATGGCTTCTTCCTCCTATTCTCAAGAACCAGACTTTTCAGACTTCTCTGCACATAAGACCTGACTATCTGGAAGAAATTTCCCTTTAAGAAAAAGCCCATGTAAGGCAGCCATCCTAGGTCCTTAATTCCATAGGACTATCACCTAAGGTGTCCAACTAAACTGCAGTCTAGCTGGGCACAGGTGGTTCATGCCTGTAGTCCTAACTGCTTTAGAAGCTAAGATCACAGGATCTTTGTTCAAAGCCAGCCAGGGCAGGAAAGTCCATGAGACTCTTACCTCCAATGAACCACCAAAAAGCCAGAAGTAGAGATGTGGCTCAAGTGGTAGAGCACCAATCTTGTGTGTAAAAGCTCAGGGATAGCCGGGAGCTGGTGGCTCACGCCTGTAATCCTAGCTACTCAGGAGGCTGAGATCTGAGGATCGCGGTTCAAAGCCAGCCCCGGCAGGAGAGACTGTGAGACTCCTATCTCCAATAAACCACCAGAAAACCGGAAGTGGCGCTGTAGCTCAAGTGGTAGAGTGCTCACCTTGAGCTGAAGAGCTGAGGGACAGCGCCCAGGCCCAGAGTTCAAGCCCCACGACCGACAAAAAAAAAAAAAAAAAAAAGCTCAGGGATAATGTTCAGGGTCAGGCCTTGAACTAGCCCAAATGGGCACCAGAAAAAAAATTAATATACAAAAAGCATGGATTCAGGAGGAAGAGGGAGTTGGGTACCGATAAGTGGTAATTAAAGGGATTGAGCCAAGCACCTGTAGCACATGCCTGTAATCCTGGCAACTCAAGAGGCCGAGACTTGAATCCAAGAGGCTCTTTTACTTGCCATCAAAAGGCCAGAACTTGAGCTGTGTCTCAAGTAGTAAAGCACCAGCCTTGAGCAAAAAGCTTAGGGACAGAGCCCAGGCCCTGAGGTCAAGCCCCAGTACCAACACACATATAAAACGTGAGCCCTAATGTAAACTATATGCTCTGGGTGATGGTCATGTTCTTAAATCCATCAATTATATCATATGGACTATTCCAGTGAGGGTCATGGATAAGGAGTATGTGTATATATGGGGATGGAATACACTGGAAATCTCAGTATAGAGAAATTTCAAAATTGAGATAGGGAAAGCAGATTCTCTGTTCAGCTTTGCTATCAACCTAAAAATGGTCTAAAATAAACTTTTAAAATTCTTGTTGTATATATACGTGTGTGTATATATATATGTATGTATATATATGTATATATGTGTGTGTGTGTATATATATATATATTCTATCACTTGAACCACACTTTCATTTGCAGCATTTTGCTGGTTAATTGGCAATAAGAGTTTCATAGACTTTTCTGTCTAGGACAGTTTCGAACCAGGATCCTCAGATCTCTGCTTCTTGAGTAGCTAGGATTACAGGCTTGAGCTCCATTTTTAGAAAGGAAAAGCGAATGAACCAGACTTCCTCCCCACCCCACACTTTAGACAGAACACACAATGACACGCAGGACCGTCCTGCCTTCTGCTTTATTCCCACAGAACTGCTTTTCATCCACACCTCTGGTTCCATCCGAATGGATGTAGAATACAGACCATCAGGTCTGGGGTCCATGGATCAAGTGTAACCACCACCCCCAGCCCCCACCAAATGTCCACAATCCCCACTCGCCACAGCTTGAGGAGCGTGTGTCAGCCAGGGGCGCTCTGATTGCCTGAAAGAAAGAAGTTGACAGTGAAATGCACAAACCTTCATTTCCACCGTCTTCTCACCTATGTCAACACACCAGCAAGGACCCTCATCTTTCTAGACTGAGGAAGAGAACCAGATGCAAAGGGTCTAGGGGGAAGACCATTCTGTAAGTCATCATTCATGATGCAAGGCACTCTGAGCCAGGCTGCCAAGAAAACAACTTATCCAGACTCCAGAAGACTCATCTCCAGTTAACCAGCAAAAAGCTAGAAGTGGAAGTATGCCTCAAGTGGTAGAGAGGCAGTCTTGAGCAGAAAAAACTAAGCAAGAGCACAAGACCCTGCGTTCAAGCCCTAGTGCACACACACATCATCATCACCCACAGACTTACCTGTTTATGGATTCGACTCAACTCAGTGATTTTCCCATACTCCCCAACTGACCTCACCTCAAATGCTCGAAGCCATGACTCCAGTGTCACCCACCATTAGAAGTAGTGTGTGTGTGTGTGTGTGTGTGTGTGTGCGTGTGCGCGCGCACATGCACGCATGCACACGCCAGTCCCAGGGCTTGAACTCAGGGCCTGGGCTCTGTCCCTTATTTTTTTTCTCCTCATGGTTGGTGCTCTACCACTTGAGCCACAGTTCCACTTCTGGCTTATTTGGTGGCTAATTGAAGATAAGAGTCTTCATGGACTTTCCTGCCCAGACTGGCTTTGAACCATGATCTTCAGACCTCATTCTTCTGAGCAGTTAGATTTACAAGTGTGAGCCACTTGTGCCTGGCTAAAAAGGGCACTCTATACCTTTCTACAAGCGTCCTGTCCCAAGCCTTCCCCCCAAGCTCCCTCCTTCATTACAACTCACAGCACAGAACTGTCACATGGTCTGAAGGGGCCCAGGAGGCCATCACTGCTCCTGCACACTGAGGATCCGAAGTAGGATATTGTACACATTCTGTTCCATGTAGCCCTAGAGGCAACAGAAAAGACAGAAGAAGATGAAGAATGTAAAATGAGAGCAGCATCGGTGTGGCTCACGCCTGTAGTCCTAGCTACTCAAGAGGCTGATATCTGAGGATCATGGTTGAAAATCAGCTTCTGCAGGAATGTCTATGAGATTCTTATCTTCAGTTAACCAGCAAAAAACCAGAAGTGGAGGTGTGCCTCAAGTGTAGAGTGCCAGACTTGAGCAAAAACTTAAGAGACAGTGCAGTGCCCATGCTCTGATTTTAAGCCCCAGTACTGTTGTGTACACACACACACATGGGAGGGGGGGAGACAGATTCTGTGACATGAAACACTATTCAGTACTTATTCTCACTTATCACTTTAGCAAATTTTGTTGGATTTATTGGTGTGCTGAGGATAGAACCCAGGACTTCACATATACTAGGTGCAAGTCCTCGACCACTAAGCTATTTCCCAAGCTCTCACTTATTACTATTTAATTTTTTCTTGGTTGTTTTCCTATCTTCACTCTGTGTGTGTGTGTGTGTGTGTGTGTGTGCGTGCACGCACATGCACACCAATACTGGGATTTGAATTCAGGACCTCACACTTTTTTGTTGTTGTTGTTGTGGTCGTGGGGCCTGAACTCTGGCCTGGGCGCTGTCCCTGAGCTCTTCAGCTCAAGGCTAGCACTCTACCACTTGAGCCACAGTGCCACTTCTGGCATTTTCTGCTTGTGCAGTACTAAGAAATGGAACCCAGGGCCCCGTGCATGCAAGGCAAGCGCTCTACCACTGGGCCCCTTCCCAGCCCCGACCTCATACTCTTGATTGGCTTCTTCACTTAAGGCTGTTGCTCTGTCACTTGAGACACGCTTCCACTTTCAGTTTTTTTGCTAGCTAACTGGAGATAATAGTCTCACAGTCTTTCCTGCTGAAGCTGGCTTTGTACCTTGATCCTCAGATCTCAGCCTCGTGAGTAGCTAGATTACAGGCGTGAGCCACCAGCTCCAAGCTTGGCTTTAAACCTTGATCCTCGGATCTCAGTCTGGAATAGCTGGAGTGAGCTGCCTGCATCTGGCTACAGTGCTTACTTTTCAAGATTGCAAGGGCTACAAATGGAACACAGCTACTGTTCCACTCTTTGCCCTTAAAGAACCAAGCCACCCATCTTTTCTTCCAACTCTTAGCCCCTTTGGGGCTACCACTGGCTCAGGAAGAAACTAAGAAAGTTGAAGGGACAGAAAGAGCCGTTATGATGGGCCAGAGAATTGAAAAGGAGGCACAAACATCTCTCTCTACTTTCACACTCATGCCCAACCTCTCTGCATCTACCAGTGACATCCAGAGACCTGGAACTGACCAGCATGGATAAAAAAGAAAAGGCAAAAAGCTGGAAGTGCAGCTGTGGCTCAAATGATAGGGTGCTATCCTGGATCAAAAAAGCGCAGAGACAGCACCCAGGCTCTGAGTTCAAGCCCAAGACTGGCATAGAAGAAAAGAGAAAAGCAAAGAAAAAGATGGGCTGGGAATGTGGCTTACTGGTTGAGTGCTTACCTAGCATGCATGAAGCCCTGGGTTCGATTCCTCAGTCCCACATAGACAGGAAAAGCTGGAAGTAGTGCTGTGGCTCAAGTGGCAAAGTGCTAGCTTTGAGCAAAAAAAATCTTAGGGACAGTGCCCAAGCCCTGAGTTCAAGCCCCAGACTGGTAAAAAAAAAAAAAGAAAAGATAATACCCTTTCCTCTCTGAATTTCTGTCCCCCAAACCTGGACAGGACTGTGCTGACCTGGGCCGCATTCAGCAGGTGATTCCTGTAAGTGGAGATGATCTCCTCGTGGTTTTTCTGGGAATCCTGACAGAGAAAGAGAGAGAAGGAGAATATGAAAGTTACGTAAAGGTGTATGCTTACCCTCCCCATACTCACCAAGCATAAAGAACAGGAAGGGATGTGTTTTGTCTTGTTTGTGCCAGTGCTGAGGCTTGAACTCAAGACCTATGGCATTTGTCCCTTAGTTTTTTCTGCTAAAGGCTGGCACTCTACCACTTGAGAAACCTCTACTTCTTGGAGATAAGAGTATCATGGGGCTGGGCACTGGTGGCTCAATACCTGTAATCCTAGCTACTCAGGAGGCTGAGATCTGAGGATCGCAGTTCAAAGCCAGCCAGGGCAGGAAAGTCTATGAGACTTTTATCTCCAATTAACCATCAGAAAACTGGAAGTGGTACTGTGGCTCAAGTGGTAGAGCACTTGCCTTGAGCTGAAGAGCTGAGGGACAGGGACCAGGCCCAGAGTTCAAGCTCCACAACCGACCAAAAAGAAAAAAAGTATCATGGACTTTCTTGCCCAGGCTGGCTTGGAACTGCAATCCTCAGATCTTAGCCTCCTGAGTAGCTAGAGTGAAAGCATGAGCTGTGAGCACCCAAGTAGAAGCAAGAAGTTGAAGTGGTGACTTTATTAACCAGCCTCCCATGGTCCATCCCTGGCTCAGACTGGACCTCACTGGTTAGGCCTCTTGTTCCTCACAGAATGTCTCCCACTTATTCATCACGTCTACCCTCCTCTCTACCCATGTCCATTTCCCACCCTCCATACCCTAGGTCACATCATACCTGCAGCTGAAGGGTAAGGCGAGCATTTTCTCCCCGGACTGCTAGGACCTCCTCGGAAAGCTGCTCCAGCTTCTTCAACAATTCCTTGATCTAAGGCCAAAAAGAAACACGAGATCAGTGAAATCCAGTCTTCCCTGCCACCAATACCACTCATGGGCAAAGTCAGCTTCCTTTTATTAGGTATTTAATGCGATATTAGCCAGGTGGGGTTTTTGTTTGTTTGCCAGTCCTAGGGCCTGAACTCAGGGCCTGGGCACTGTCCCTGAGCTTCTTTTTTTTGGGGTCTGGTCGTGGGGCCTGAACTCTGGGCCTGGGCGCTGTCCCTCAGCTCTTCAGCTCAAAGCTAGCACTCTACCACTTGAGCCACAGTCCCACTTCCAGCTTTTTTCTTTTTGCTTATGTGGTGCTGAAGAATCGAACCCAGGGCCTCATGCATGCAAGGCAAGCGCTCTACCACTGAGCCACCTTCCCAGCCCTGTCCCTGAGCTTTTTGCTCAAGGCTAGAACTCTACCACTTGAGGCACAGCGCCACTTCTGGCTTTTTCTGCTTATATGGTACTGAGGAATGGAACCCAGGGCTTCATACATGCTAGACAAGCATTTTACCACTAAGCCACATTCCCAGCCCTAGCCAGGTATTTTTGCACACATCTGGTGTAAACCAGCGTTTTTTCTGAGAACAATACTAAAGGAACTATTAGCCATAGTTTGCAAGTCGGGAGCCTGAGTTTATTAATTTGTCTAAAGCATACAACTTAGAAGAAGGAAAATCATCATTTGAACCAAGTTGTCTTTGACTCCACAGTGCATACTATGAATTCAGTACTGCATCCTAACCACCCTTCTGGCTGCTGACAGTGATGGAGATAAGGGGCAATTGCTGGTTAATTGGAGATAAGAGTCTTTTGGATTTATCAGCCCTGCCTGGCTTTGACCCTTGATAGTCACATCTCAGCCTCCTGAAGAGCTAGGATTATAGGCATGAGCCACCAGTGCCTGGCTCATTTGTTTTGTTTTTGGTCAGCTGTGGGCCTTGAGCTCAGGGCCTGGGCACTGTCTCTGAGTTCTTTTGCCCAAGGCTAGCGTTCTATCACTTTGAGCCACAGCAGCACTTCCTGTTTTTGAGTAGTTAATTGGAAATAAGAGTCTCTCAGGACTTTTCATCCCTAGCTAGCTTTGAACCTCAATCCTCAGATCTCAGCCTCCTGAGTAGCTAGGATTACAGGCATATGCCATTGGTGCCTGGCTTTTTTTTTTTTTAATCTAGAAAAGATTCCTTGTTTATTTGCTTCTCTTTACATTTTTGTTTCTTAGACTGTAAAAAGAAAGGGGAATGACAGGCTAAGCAAATGTATTGTTAATACGGACAGATACTGTGACAGTGCAAGTTTACACCATAGCTGAACACAGCAAGATTCAATGAGGACCGACACTGGTTATAACTCATTTACAAAACAACAAAAAATGATGGTGCTTAGGGGCAATACAACTTTGTTGTTGGGGTACATGGCTCACTGTGCAAACAAGTACCTGAAGACATCAGAGCACTCAGTAGCTCATGCTAGAATAACGTGGCAATAAAGAAATGTTGCTATTCTAGAAAATGTAGATAACGGAAATACTAGATTTTCTTTTGTGATACTGAGGCTATTTTCTTTTCTTTTTTTTTTTTTTTTTGGTCCGATGGGACCTGAACTCTGGGCCTGGGCGCTGTCCCTCAGCCCTTCAGCTCAAGGCTAGCACTCTACCACTTGAGCCACAGCGCCACTTCTGGCTTTTTTTTTCTGCTTATGTGGTGCTGATGAATCGAACCCAGGGCCTCATGCATGCAAGGCAAGCACTCTACCACTGAGCCACCTTTCCAGCCCATGAGGCTACTTTCATACACAGCTGTAACTATCTTTATTTCTGAAGGTCCTATCAGAAACATAACTTTGTTCTTATAAATCTGAAAAGTGCTATTATCTTACCTATTTCTTCCTAAAGAAATATTTTGTAATAATATTTGAAAACTGAGATGTCGCCTTGGTTCATGCCTTTAGTCTTAACAAGCCTGAGATCAGAGGATCCTGTTTGAAGCCAGCCAAGGCAGACAAATCTGAAAGACTGATATCTCCAGTAGGCACCAAAAGGCTAGATATGGAGCTGTGGCTCATGTAGTAGAGTGCCAACCTTGAGTGAAAGAGCTAAGGGACAGCCCCAAGGCACTGAGTTCAAAACAACAGAAAATAAAAACAGGGGCTGGGAAGGTGGCTCAGTGGCAGAGCGCTTGCCTTGCATGCCTGAGGCCCTGGGTTTGATTCCTCAGCACCACATAAACAAATAGAAAAAAGCCGGAAGTGGCACTGTGGTTCAAGTGGTAGAGCGCTAGCCTTGAGCTGAAGAGCTGAGGGACAGCGCCCAGGCCCAGAGTTCAGGCCCCACGACCGGACCCAAAAAAAAAAAAAAAGAAAACAAACACAAACACAAAAAAAAATAGAGAAGAAAAGAAGGAACAGTGATAGAGAAGAGATTGGTGGAACATATTGTAAATGTGTGTCAAAATGTAACAATGAAATCCCCCTCTGTATAGCTAATATATAAGCTAATAAAAGTAAAAAATCTGCCAGGCATTAGTGGCTCATGCCTGTAATTCTAGCTACTCAGGAGGCTGAGATATGAAGATCAAGGCTCAAAGCCAGCCCAAGCAAGAAAGTCTGTGACACTCTTAGCTCCAATTAGCCACCAAAAAGCCAGAAGTGGAGCTGTAGTTCAAATGGTAGAGCACTAGCCTTGAGTAAAAAAGCTTAGGGACAGTATCTAAACCCCAAGTTCAAGCCCCAAGACTGCACCAAAAAAACCACATATATATATATATATATATATATATATATATATAATATTTCTCATAGAAACATGTCCAGTCAAGTCACTATCAAGTGAGAATTCTAGAAAGCAGTAGTTAGCTGAGTGATGGGACTCATACCTGAAACCCTAGCTACTCAGGAAGCTGGGGTCTGGAGATTCAAAGCTAGTCAGAACAAAAACATCCAAATAACCAGTAGAAAGCAGGACTAGCGCTATGGTTCAAGCAGTAGTACATCAACTTATCAGTGAGTCAACTTCCACACCCCAGTTCCAATCCCATTCTATTTAACAACAGAAAACATTAGTATCCAAATCTTTTCTGTTGTTTTTCCTTTACTTTGGTCTGTCTTTCCAATGGAAATCACTCACAGAGCCCATTCTAAAAGAGAGGGTAGAAGAGAACTATAACTGTGTCTACTTAACCTCATCAGACCATGAGCCATCTCAGAAGGTCAGCTGAACCATAGCAACACATGACACCAGTAAGCTGGGCACTGGTGGCTCACACCAGTAATCCTAGCTACTCAGGAGGCTGAACTCTGAGGATCACGATTTAAAGCCAGCACATGCAAGAAAGTCCATGAGACTCTTATCTCCAATAAACCACCAGAAAACCAAAAGTGACACTGTGCCTCAAAGTGGTAGAGCACTAGTCTTGAGCAGAAAAGCTCAGAGACAGTTCACAGGCCCTGAGTTCAAGCTCCATGACTAAAAAGAAAGAAAAGAAAAAGACACCATTAGGCCTCTTGCCAGGCTGAAATGGTATGAGCCCTGGTGCTCCATTGGTAGGAGCCTGAGGGAGGTGAAAGCCTGCTTACCTCTTGTTCCTTCCTCTCTCCCTCCTTTCCCTCTTCTCTCCCTCCCTCTTTCTGAGCGTAGATTAGAGAAAATGAGGCATGGTAAACACCAGCCAGGAATTCAGAAACCTATGCTGTATTTAATGAGTTGTTCTATGGGAAACACAGAAGTGCTATCTTCTTTGCTTTAACCCTTACACTCCTTTATTAACTGCTGTATTAGTGAAAGGAAAAAGAACAGCATCTACATCTGATCTTGCCTGCTGGACCAAAAGAATATGCTCTGAAAACTGAGCAACAGCAACATAAATAAAGACATGTATCAAGCCCAGTGCGGTGGCTCACACTTGTAATCCTAGCTACTCAAGAAGCTACAATCTGAGGATCACAGTTTGAAGCCAGCCCCAGCAGAAAAGCCCATGAGATTCTTAACTCCAATCAACTACCAAAAAGCCACAAGTGGCGCTGTGGCCCAAGAGTGCTAGTCTTGAACAAAAGAAGTTCAGAGATAGTGCCCAAGCCCTGAGTTCAAGCCCCAGGACCAGCACAAAGAAAGGAAGAAAAAAAGAGGGGGATGGGGAGGGAAGGAAGGAAGGACATGTATCCTGAAAAAGCAAATACTTGGGAAATGACTCCTGGCACAAAGTACTTATGTCAAGGATGGACATCTGTCTTGAAATATGTAGGACAGAATGCACCCTTTCTTTGGAGGGATGCCCAAACATAATGATCAAACTTCAATGAGAGGGCTGGGAATGTGGCTTAGTGGTAGAGTGCTTGTCTAGCATGCATGAAGACCTGGGTTCGATTCCTCAGTACTACATACACAGAAAAGGCTGCAAGTAGAGCTGTGGCTCAAGTGATAGAGTGCTAGCCTTGAGCAAAAGAAGCTGAGGGACAGTACCCAGGCCCTGAGTTCAAGCCCCAGGACTAGCAGAAAAGAAAAGTTCAATGAGCAGCACCAGTCCTGAGCCCAAGTGGAACACCAAGAGTGATTCAATGTGTCAAGTTTGAGAACAACAACAAAAAACACTTATCCTAGAACAATTTTAACTCAAACCTTTCCATTTGTTAAATACACCCCTGATGTCAAACAGCTCGGGGTGCCTGCCCTCCCCCCCCCTTTTTTTTGGTTGGTCATAAGGCATGCTGTCCCTCAGCTCTTCAGCTCGAGGCTAGCGCTCCACCACTTTGGGCCACAACACCACTTCTGGTTTTCTGGTGGTTCATAGAGATAGTCTCACAGACTTTCCTGCCCGGGCTGGCTTTGAACCATGATCCTCAGATCTCAGCCTCCTGAGTAGCTAGGATTACAGGCGTGAGCCTTGGGCGCCCAGCTCAGGGTGTCTCTCTTTGAGCACCCACACTTCCGTTCTGCTTGCTTGCTTACTCCATGGTTTTCTTACCATTGTGACTTGGCTGGAAATTCGTATTTGGCTAAAACCCTGAGTGCAGGGTCCCTAGTTCCGGAGAGAACCTTCAGGAACCCTCACCTGGAACCGGTGACCCTCTCTCCCTTTGTCCCTCTAGCTCCCTCCTTCCCTTCCTTCCTTCCTCTCTCCCTCCCTTCCTTCCTCTCCCTTCCCCCTCTCCAGCCTTTCCTCCCTATCCCCCTCCTCCTCCCTTTCCCAGTTCCTCAGTTTCCCCGCCAGCTCGCAAGAGATTGCAGCGGAGGGGGGCGTGGAAGCCGCCAAGCCCAGGCGCACCCCACCCGCCGCTCCTCCGAGCAGCCGGTGGAAGGGCTGGGGGGGGGGGTCCCACCTTGGCCTCCTTGTCCCGGGCGGCGGCGGCGAGGCGCTCGGTCCGGTCGTCCAGGCGCCTCTCCAGGGCTTCGGCGCGACCCCGCTCGGCCACCGCCGCTGCGTCCCGCCGCCGCCGCCGCAGCTCCGCGCCCGCCGCGCGGTGCGGCTCCGGCGCCGCGTGCAGCTCGGGGCCCCGCGCCTGCGCCTGCGCCGCCGGCGCCTCCCGCGCCTGCTCGTGCCGCCGCAGGCTGGCCGCCTCGCGCGCCCGCAGCTCCGCCACCTCCTCCGTGGCCTGGTAGAGCAGCTGTTTCAGCTTCGCCATCTCCTGGCTCTTGGCGCCCATGGTGGCCTGCACGGCGCGCAGCTCCGCCTCCAGCGCCCCCAGGTCCCGCTCCAGGGCGGCCACCTGTGGGGACGCGGCCGGATCCCCGCGCGGGGACGTCGAGCCCCGCAGCCGCTGGTTCTCCTCCTCCAGCCGGGCCACCGCCCCCTGGGCCTGGCGGAGCCGGTCCACCAGGGCGCGGACGCACCCCTGGAGCTCCTCCAGGGGTTCGGCTCCCCCCCGGCGGCCCGCCAGGTCGGCGGGCAGGCAGTCCCACAGCGCGCGGACGCCGCCGCTGTGCGAGGCCAGGCGCTGGCGCAGCTTCTCCGCGGCCTCCTTCTCCGCGGCCAGCTCGTCGGCCAGCAGCCCCACGCTGCGCCGCAGCTGCTGCAGCTGGACCTGCGCCTCGGGCCGGGGCACGAACTCCCTCTGGAGCCTCAGGCCCAGCGCCTGCAGCTCCCCCTGCAGCCGCTGCCGCTCGCGACCCAGCTCCCCCAACTCCTCCAGCAGGTGGCTGTTGCTCCTCCTCAGCGCCGACACCTCCTTCTCCAGCAGTCCCTTCGCCCCTCCGGGGCTCTGTTCTTTTCCTGGAGCCCCCTGAGGCTCTCCCCGGGCCCAAGGAACCCTTGGCTTCTCTTTAGGGGTTTCCTGGCTCTCTGGGTGAGCCTGTCCCTGGCCCGCGATCTCCGTTTTCCCCTGCAGCCCCGCCTTGGCTTGATCCAGCCTCACCAGCACGCGCTCTAAACGGGCCTCCATCTTCTCCCAGGCGGCGGCTGCAGCCTCAGCCCGGGGCGTCCCCAGGGCGCCCTCCAGGATGGGTCTGGAGAGAGCCCCTCTGGCCGTGTCCTTGTCTCTCCACACTGCAGCCAGCTCCTCTCTGAGCTGTAGCAGTAGCTGGTTCATGGCGGCTGTGCCTGCTGCTACTTTTTCCACCGGGCCTGCTGGTTCCACCCCCAGGGCCTGCGGCCTCTCCTGCTGGGAAGCACAGAGCTGGTCCTTGTGATCAGGGCCAAGGGTCTGCCTCCCATGGCTGGTCAGTGGCTGTCCTGTGTCCTTCCTTGGGATTTGGGATGGCCCCTCTTCCTCCCTGGACGTTCCATGGACTCCTCGCTGGATGTCTGCTGAGCCAGGCTCCTCCAGCTTAGGACCTAACGATGACTTCCCTGTAGTCCTCTGCTGCTGCCTCTTCAGCTCTAGTATATGTTCCACCAGCAGATCCAGAGGACAGCCCTGCTCCATACCGTCACCTCCAGGCCGGAAACTAGAGCCCTGCTCTCCTGGAGCTCCAGGCTCTTGGACTAGAAGTCGCCCTAGCTCCTGTACCTGCTCTCGAATCTGGTTTTCCAGGCCCAAGTAAGCTGTAGCTTGAGCCTTACACTCTTCTGTCTTTAGTACCAACTCCCGCTCCAACTGAGACACTTTCTTCTGCTCCTCTTCATATTTTAGCCGCCACTCTGCTGAGCACTGGTCTTCCTCCTCCTCTTCCTCCTGCTCCTTCTCAGGCTCTGCTTTCCATGGGCTGGTGGGTGGAAAACCCATCTGGAGCTCAGATGGAGAGGCCTAGATCAAAACCACAACAGCCAAGTGAGGGCAGGAAGGAGGACCCCCAAGGATGGCCCCAGTAAACGTGGGGAGGGTCAGAGACAAAAAGAGGGAGGTACCTGGGATGCAAGATCTGGATGTTGAACCAGCTTCTGACCTATAAAGAAAAGACAGCAAATAAGAGAAAAGATAGGTCTGTGTGCTTTGATTGCACACCGATTGTCTGTGTATGTGTGTGCACGTGTGCACAAACTCAGGGCCTCCTCTCTCTCTCTCTCTCTCTGTCTCTCTCTCTCTGTCTCTCTCTCTGTCTCTTTCTCTCTCTCATCAGTTGTGGGGCTTGAATTCAGAGCCTGGGTGCTGACCCTGAGCTCTTGCTCAAGGCTAGAGCTCTATCACTTTGAGCCACAGCTCCACTTCTGTTTTTGAGTAGTTAATTAGCGATGAGAGTCTCATGGACTTTCCTGCTCAAGCTGGAATCAAACCATGATTCTTAGATCTCAGCCTCCTGAGTATCTAGGATTACAGGCACCAACACCCAGCTCTTACAGATTTTTTTATTTTTTTGGCCCATCCTGGGGCTTGAACTCAGGGCCTGAGGACTGCTATCCCTGAACTTCTTTTGCTCAAGGCTAGCACTCTACCACTTGAGCCATAGCACCACTTCTGGCTTTTTCTGTGTATGTGGTACTGAGGAATGGAACCCAGGGCTTTATGCATGCTAAGCAAGCACTCTACCACTGAGCCACCTTCCCAGCCCCAGATTCTTTTTTTTTTTTTTAAACAGATGTCATGCTTCTCCTTTGATAGAGCGTATGAAATGCTTGGATTTACCTCCTCGCCGCCGCCGGTTCAAGGCCTGCCTCAACAGCCCGCACAAGGCCTTGTCTTGTGTTTGCAGAGCGTAATACAGAGCATTGTGGCCCAGGCTGTCCACCGCCCCTGCATCTGCTCCATGGCTCAGGAGAAGTTCTGCCACCTCCGCACTGCCTTTCTCACAGGCCAGGATCAGAGCTGACCTGAGCGTAGAGATCAATGTGAGTATAGGCTTTCCCTCACAGAAGCCAGGAGTCCTGGTTCCAGAAATGCCATTCACAGAAGCAGCTCTCACTCAACAAGGTCAAGACAGTAAGTCTATCACCAATCAAAGACGGCATTACCACAGATCATGCTGGATGCTGGTGGTTCATGCTTGTAATCCAAGGTATTCAGGAGGCTAAGATCTGAGGATCACCCTTAGAAGATAGCCAGGCAGAAAAGTTGAGGAGACTCTTATCTCCAATAAACCAGCCAAAGGCTAGAAGTGATTGGTGGCTCATGCCTATAATCCTAGCTTCTTAAGAGGCTGAGATCTGAGGATTAGCAAAAAGCTGGCAGTGGAGCTGTGTCTCAAATGGTAGAGTACTAACTTTAGTGAGAGAACCAAGGGACAGCATCCAGGCCTTGGGTTCATGTCCCAAGACTAGCACAAAAACAAAAACAAGGGCCAACTAAAAGGACTCCTAAGATTAAGTTTCTGCATAAATTTGTTTTTTTAAGACAGAGTCTCTGTGTAGCCCAGGCTAGCTTTGAACTCAAATCTGACTCAGCCTCTCAGGGTTGGAATTACAAAACTGCACTACCACACCTGGCTTCTGCATAAATTTTTCATTGATAGGGGAAGAAAAAGAAAAGGATCCCAGAACTCAGTGATTTTTCCTGGCACTCTTGCTTGGCTACACCAGGTTTTGCCTGTCTGGAGCAAGAAGTACTATTATCCAAAACTTGTGCCCAATAAAATACCCTTTGTAATCCCTCTTCCCCAAAAGAGATGCCATTGTTTAGAAGACAGCTTGAAAACAAGGAAATTAAGCCAGTGATCCCGTGACAGGTCTGTTCCATCTCTGGGATGGTCTACCGGAAGCCATTCGTGGCAGCAGACCAGGTTCTTCTGAGTCATCCCTGGGCTGGCGGGAGGATCCCATGACAGAGACCGGTCTGCCCTCTTCCTATACATACACACACACACACACACACACACACACAGTACCCTCTGTCTCCGTTGTGGGTCTGGACACAAGTGGGGGACGGGGTGGGATGTCTTACTTGTCATCTTTGTCCGTGACGTTGACTCGCGCGCCCCTCTGCAGCAGCTGGGAGCAGATCGCTGCATGGCCTCCCAGCGATGCGATCATCAGAGGTGTGCGGCCATCCTACACAGATCACGGGAAGAAGGAGGGTCACTTGGAGCAAAGAAAGAAAGAAAGGAAGGAAGGAAGGAAGGAGAAAAGGAAGCAAGCAAGCTCAGATCCTATAGGTAAGATTACAAGCTCTCTAAAAGACTAGGTTTAATTCTTCATGAGAAGGGGGGACAAAATACAGGAGGTAGGCTAGGAATATGGCTCAGTAGTAGAGTGCTTGCCTAGCACACATGAAGGCCCAGGTTTGATTCCTCAGTACCACAAACACAGAAAAAGCTGTAAGTAGCACTTGGTTCAAGTGGTAGAGTGCTAGCCTTGAGCAAAAGCAGCTCAGAGACAGTGCTCAGGCCCTGATTTCAAGCCCCAGGACTGGCAAATAATAATAATACACCAGCTGGGAAGGTGGCTCAGTGTAGAGTGCTTGCCTTGCATGCATGAGGCCTTGGGTTCGATTCCTCAGCACCACATACACAAAAAAAGCAGGAAGTTCCATTGTGGCTCAAGTGGTAGAGCACTAGCCTTGAACTAAAGAGCTGAGGGACAGAGTTCAGGTCCCACAACCAAAACAACAACAACAAAAAAAAAACAATACAGGAGGTAGCTCATGCCTAGCTACTCGGGAGGCTGAAAGCTGAGGATTGAGATGGGAAGCCAGCTCAGGCAGGAAAGTCCATGAAACTCTTATCTCCAATTAATCACCAAAAAGCCAGACATGGAGCTGTAGCTCAAGCAGTAGAGTGCTAGCTATGAGCAAAGAAAGCTCAGGTATAGCGGTCAGGCCCTGAGTTCAAGCACCAGCACTGGCAAAAAGAAAAAAAAAGGAAGTGGTGCTGTGGCTCAGTGGTAGAGCATTAGTCTTGAGCTGAAGAGCTCAAGGACAGTGCCTAAGCCCAGAGTTCAAGCCCCATGACCAACCAAAAAAAAAAAAAAAGAAAGAAAGAAAGAAAGAAAGTGGTTGTACTTATTGGCAATAATATTTGACCAAAAGGACTTCTCTCATCCTCCATAAAAGAGCTGACAACCAGCGGGGGGCACTAGTGCCTTAGGCCTCTCTAATCCTTGTTACTCAGGAAACTGAAATCCAAGGATCACAGTTTGAAGCCAGTCCAATAAATGAGCAAAAAAGCTAAGGGATGATGCTTAGATGCTGAGATCAAGCCCCAGTACCCTCACCAAAAGAAGAAAGAAAAACAGCTGATAATCATTTGTCAGTCACAAGCATTTATTTAATGCCTGCTCTATGCAGATATCATGCTTGATACCGCTCCCTGGGTGGGCATTTCCCATTCATCCATCAGTTACTCACATTATCCAATACATCCAAGAAGGCTTCGTGGTCACACAACAGGAGGACACTCGAGGCACAGCCAGAGGAGGCTGGGGAAGGGTGAAGGAGAAGAATGAAAGCCACCTGGCCCGTGAACATGCCCCAACATCCCCTCCTGCCAGTTCAGTGGTTTGCCCTGACTGCCCTTCCCACAAAGGTTGCTTTCCCCCTTCCTTCTCTCCCCCTCCGTCCTTCCAGCCCCACCCCACTGACCAGGCACACACCTGCCCAGTGCAGTGGACTGCGGTTCTCCATATCCACCGCATCTTCATTAGCACCATGCTGCAAAGAGCCACAAAAGGAAGCAACGTGGAGTTTAGTGCGAAGGTCCTCATCCAGTACCCCTGCTGGCTTGTCAGCTTCCATGGTGAAAGAGGTAGGGGCCTGGTGGCTCCTGCCTGTAGTCCTAGCTACTCAGGAGACTGAGATCTAAAGACCGAAGTTCAGAGCTAACCCAGGCAGGAAAATCCCTGAGACTCTTATTTCCAATTAACTATCCAAAAAGCTGGAAATTGAGCTGTGGCTTAAGTGGTAGAGCACTAGTCTTGGGCACAAAAGCTCAAGGACAGTGCAGAAGGGCTGTGGTTCTTTATTATCTGTTTGATTTGGGGTGTTTTCTTTGTGTGTCTGTGTGTGCTGGGGATTGAACTCAGAGTTTTAGGCATGCTGGGCAAGTGCTTTACTAAGCTATATCCCAGCATGGGCCTCACTGTCTCATTTGGCTTTTTTACTCAGTGCTGCCACTCTACTACTTGAGCCACAACTCTACTTCTGGCTTTTTTATGATTAATTGGAGATAAAAGTCTCACAGACCTTTCTGCCCAGGCTGGCTGTGAACTGTCATCTTCCCATCTCAGCCTCCTGAATAGCTAGGATTATAGGCATCAGCCACCAGAGCCTGGCTAGGATTGTGGTTTGAGGGGAGCCAGACTACTTGGTAAGCCTGGTCCATTCCTGGCAGTCGATAGGTATACTTGAATTTCAGCCTTGGTTCCTAAACCTAGAGTGTAAGACAAAAATCAAAGGAATAAACGTGTTAGGTGGAAATGCCACCTGACTCCATGGCTGGTACTGTAGGCTTCTCAGGGTATTTGTGAGATTTGGGAAAGATCAAGAAGAACAAAAACAGGGCTGGGAAGGTGGCCCAGTGGTAGAGCGCTTGCCTTGCATGCATGAGGCCCTGGGTTCAATTCCTCAGTACCACATAAACAAAAAAGAAAAAAGCCAGAAGTGGTGCTGTGGCTCAAGTGGTAGAGTGCTAGCCTTGAGCTGAAGAGCTGAGGGAAGTGCCCAGGCCCCAGAGTTCAGGCCCCATGACTGGACCCAAAAACAAACAAACAAGAAGAACAGAAACAGACCTGCAACATACTCAATGACCTACTGAAGGAATTGTGCAGTGTGTACTTTAGAGACTTATTTACATTGCACACAGGTCATTTCACATGTGTTTCGCCTTGTTCTTTACCATTTGAGCCATACCTCCAGTTCCAGTTTTTTGCTGGTTAATTGGAGATAGGAATCTTGAAGATTCATCTGCCCAGACTGGCTCTGAAATGAGATCTTCAAGATCTCAGCCTTCTGACTAGCTAGGATTTGGGGCGTGAGCATAGATGGTGCCTAGCACATGTACTTACGCTCCTTGTCTAGAAACAGCCTCAGAATAGGCTGAGAAGGGCTTTGGGTTAAGTAAAGGCCTCTGCTCATCCTCACAGCATGTAGTCTTGTGTGTGGCTGGGCCAATGGTATCGCTCAATAGTAAACTTGTGAGCTGGCTATGTGAAGTCCCCTCTAGGGCAGTATTGAGTGTGGTGCCTACCTAAAAAAAGTGCTAAATAGGGGCTGGGAAGGTGGCTCAGTGGTAGAGCGCTTGCCTTGCATGCATGAGGCCCTGGGTTCGATTCCTCAGTACCACATAAGCAAAAAGAAAAAAGCTGGAAGTGGCACTGTGGCTCAAGTGGTAGAGTACTAGCCTTGAGCTGAAGAGCTGAGGGACAGCGCCCAGGCCCAGAGTTCAGGCCCCATGACCGGACCCAAAAAAAAAAAAAAAAAAGTAAGTGCTAAATAAAAATTTTTGTGTGAATAAATGGTTATTAGCTCTCTTACTGGGGAGGAGAAGGGTACATCTGACTAACTAATGCTCCTAACTATAAAACCAAATTAAGATTCTGAATAGCCAGCGCTGGTGGCTCATACCTGTAATCCTAGCTACTCAGGAGGTTAAGATCTGAGGATCACAGTTCAAAGCCAACCCAAGTAGAAAAAAATTGAGTGAGATTCTTATCTCTCTAAGGAAGTATCAAAAAAAAACCCAGCTTTGACACTGGTGGGTCAAGCCTGTAATCAGGAGGCTGATATAAGATTATCAGGATTCGAGACCATCCTAGGCAAGAAAGTCCATGAGACTCTCCAATAAACTACTCAGAAAAAACAAGAAGTGGTATTGTGGCTCAAGCACCAATCGAGTAAAAATGCTCAAGGATAGCACCCAGGCCCTGAGTTCAAGCCCCAGAAGTAACAAAACAACAACAACAAAAGCTTGCACCAGTGGCTCACACCTTTAATCCTAGCCACTTATCAGGCTGAGATCCGAAGTTTGAAGTTCAAAGCCAGCCTGGGAAGGAAGATCTGTGAGACTCTTATCTCCTTTTAACTAACAACAACAAAGCTGGAAGTGGAGATGTGGCTCAAGTAGACAGAGCCCAGGCCCTGAGTTCAAGTCCCAGTAATGGCACCAACATTAAAAAAAAAAAAATGGAAAAGCAAAGAAAAAGAGCAGGGATCCACTTGTTCCTTGGGTGGAATAGTGGGGGGGGGGCGGGGGCGGGGGGAGGGTCTGGCTCACACCTGAAGCAAGACCTTTACACACTGTGGTTGGCAGGAGATGGTGGCCAGGTGCAGGGCGGTGCTTCCTGGAAAGAGAAAGAGGGAGTGAGGGGGTTGGGGGGGGGGCGGGCCCATGCATGCCCCGTGACTCACCGGGGAGGGAAAGGGAGAGACGCACAGTAATCAGAGATTACAGAGAGAAGCTCTGAGACACATAGGGCCAGAAATTCCTGTTCCCCAAGCATTAGGGACTCCAGGGCAGAGGAGAGGGTGAGGGTGGGGTGTGCCCAGCTTACAGGTAGGGAAACCTGTGGAGGGATACTAGGCAGGACTTACTGAGGATGGAGATGAGGGGCTACCATTGGAATAGGTCGCAGGGCCCCGTCCTGACCCCCAGCAGAGGTCAGTACTGTCCAACTCACCATCCTCGTTTCTGCTGTTGATGTCCGCCCCATTTGCGAGTAATACGGTCAGACACTCAGTCAGCCCCTTAGAGGCTGCCAGATGGAAGCTGTCAGAATCAAAGCCAAGACACCTACAGATGAAGGAAGCAGGGCAGGAGACCCCTCCCCTCTTCTTTTCATGTCTATTTTCCCCACAGTTATTCCCATCTATGTTTTGTTTTTCTGTTGGAGACAAGGTCTTATTAAATAGTCCAGACTGGCCTCAAATTCTTCCAGTCTTTTCACTTAGCTTCTGGAGTGCTGGAATTACAGGCATGCAGTACCACAGCCAATAAAGGGGAGAATGTGTGTGTGCTGGATATGAACTCACATGTGTTAGGCAGCAGTTCTAGTGGGGAGTTTTGTTATTTGTTTGTGTTCTTGCTTTATTTATTATTTATTTTTTACCAGTACTGGGGCTTGAACTCAGATTCTCATGCTTTTGCTTAGTTTTCTCCACTCAAAGCTGGCACTCTACCATTTGAGCCACAGATCCATTTGCAGCTTTTTGCTGGTTAAAGATTTTTCTGCTCCCATTGGCTTTGAACCTTTATCCTCAAATCTCAGCCTCCTAAGTAGCTAGGATTACAGGTGTGAGCCACCAGTGCCCAGCAGTAGAGAATATTTAATAAGCATTGCTTGCTATGCCTCTGTCATATCCTATCCCAAAAGCAGAGAGGAAGCTTTTCTTAGAAAGCCTGACTTCCTAAAAAAAGGAAGGCCATACGATTTGCAGTCTGGAAGTCAGAGGAAGCTGGAGGAAAAGTACACATGGGAACCTCAGGACTTGGAATTTTATACCCATGAGAGTGGTCTGGGTACACCTTTACCTTTCTGAGTCCAGAACCCAGTTCACTTAGCAGAACAAAAGGTGTCCCAGTGCTAGACTGGCCATTTGGAGGCTGATTTAGACAGAGATGAGAGATAGTATTTCCCTTATTCTAATCCATCCCTCTTGCCTGGCATTTCTCATGGCGTCCATTTCACTCTGAATTTCCCAGGCATATGCACCCTCATCATCGTGAAATGCCTCTTAGCATATGAGCTTGCTGTTTATTTAATGAGCTTTACTCCTCCAGTCAGCGTTGTTAATGAGGGATGGGAAATGGATGGCACTCAGGAATAGTAACCTCTTCACTCTCACTTTATTCGGTGACACACGGCACAGGTTTATCAATGTGTGTGTGTGTGTGTGTGTGCTGGTACTAGGGCTCAGGTCCTTTCACTCACCCTTGACTTTTTCAACTCAAGGCTGGTGCTCAACCCCTTGAGCTACATCTCTACTTCTATACTTCTAGCTTTTTTGCTGGTTAATTAGAGATGAGTCTCACGGTTTTTCTTTTGTTTTTGTGTGGCTTGGCTTCCAAAGGTGATCCTCAGATCTCAGCCTCCTGAGTCCCTGGGATTACAAGCATGAGCCACCAGTGACCAGGCAATATGCTTGTTAGTTACAACAAACATGACTGGAGCTAATTGAAAGCATTTCCTGGTCATATTAGAGTTAAAATTTTTCAAATGGATGGAGTTGAAAGGACTTCACATAAGGACATAGCATTTTGGGGCCAAAAGGACTTACTTACGGGGACTGGCCGCTGGAGTCTAGCTTAGTGGGTCGGGCAGACTTCCTGGAGGCCAGGGCGGCCACGCGCCCCACGTCCCCCCGCTGCACAGCCTCCAGCAGTTTCTGATCACGGCGGTTCCATCTCTCCACCTAGGCAGCCAGCCACAAACCATGTGAATACAGAAGGGGATGGCGAGAGTCCATCCCAAGGAGAAGGGACATCCTCAAGGTCCCTTCATGTCTGCATAAGCCACTCAGCCTGGCTCACTTGGTCATTGATAGCAAAATATTAACCCATTTACACTACCAGCCAGGGACCTAATGAGAACTGGACCACAAGATTAAAAATTATTGGCCAGGCCCTGAACAACAGGAACCAATATACAAGGACACGTGCACCTCCATGTTTATTGCAGCACTGTTCGCAATAGCTAGGATATGGAAACAACCTAGGTGCCCCACCACAGATGAATGGATCCAAAAATTGTGGTATCTATACACAATGGAATATTATGCAGCCATTAGAAATGACAAAATAATGGCATTTGCAGGGAAATGGATGGAGCTAGAAGGAATCATGTTGAGCGAGGTAAGCCAAGAACGAAGAGACAAACGGTACATGGTCTCCCTCATAAGTGGATGCTAAATCCAAAAGGTTAGGTGATACGACAAAACTAACAGGACTTAAGAAACAAAGAACTCCCGCTCATCTGGTTGAACCACTACTAAATATCCTCATGCTGCTGATCACAAATATGGTATATAACATGTGAACACTGTTATATATTACAGACTGTGGTAGACAATTTGCTCCAGGGAAGTTAGAATGAACTTGTGACTTTGAAATTATGTAATCATTTAATCACAATCAAAAAAAAAAAAAAGAACCTCGGGGAAGGGAGGGAGGGAGGGGATGGTAGGGGGAAAACAATGGAGGGGGTAACAATGTTCAAGAGGAAGTGTACTCATAACCTCACTCATGTAACTGTAACCCTCTGTATAGTAGCTTTACAATAAAAAAAAAATAAAAAAAAAAATAAAAAATAAAAAAAAATAAAAAATTATTGGCCAGGGCTGGGAGGGTGGCTCAGTGGTAGAGCGCTTGCCTTGCATGCCTGAGGCCCTGAGTTCGATTCCTCAGCACCACATAAGCAAAAAGAAAAAAGCCGGAAGTGGCGCTGTGGCTCAAGTGGTAGAGCGCTAGCCTTGAGCTGAAGAGCTGAGGGACAGCACCCAGGCCCAGAGTTCAGGCCCCACGACCGGACCCAAAAACAAAATTAAAAAAAAAAAAAAAAATTATTGGCCATAGCCGGGTGCCAGTGGCTCACGCCTGTAATCCTAGCTATTCAGGTAGCTGAGATCTGAGGATCATGGTTCAAAGCCAGCTGGGGCAAGAAAGTCTGTGAGACTCTTATCTCCAATAAACCACCAGAAAACCGGAAGTGGCTCTGTGGCCCAAGTGACAGCCTTGAGCTGAAGAGCTGTAGGACAGGCCCAGAGTTCAAGCCCCATGACCAACAAGAAAAAAAAAATTATTGGCCAGGAAGTATGGTGCATGCCTGTAATCCCAACACCCTACAGGCTAAAGCAGGAGAATCCTGATTTCAAGGCCAATCTGGGCTATACAGGGAGACTTGGTATCAAAAACCAAACAAAAATATAGCATTATTGTCACATATGGAAATGCTGTTTCGAATACATTTTGGGCTAGAAGTGGAGGTGTGGCTCAAGTGGTAGAGCACCAGCCCCTAGTGAAAGAGCTAAGGGAGAGTGTCTTGGCCCTGAATTCAAGTCCCAGTACTGGGCTAGTACTGGGGCTTGAACTCAGGGCCTGAAGCTCTTAGCTTCAGGTAGTTAATTAGACATAAGAGTCTCATGGACTTTCTGGCCTGGGCTGGCTTCAAACCTTGATCCTCAGATTTGAGCCTCCTGGGTAGCTAGGATCACAGGCGTGAGCCACTGGTACCCAACTTGTCCATCATGGTTTTTTTTTGTTTTTTTTTTGTTTTTGTCCTTAGAGAAGGAAATCAAGGTATCTAACTTTACATCACAGTGTGAAGTCCAAATCCTTAGCCATACTGACTCTACCACCATCAGCTTTGCATCTCACAATTGATTGGAGCGTCTAGGTTTCTGTTTTCCTGTATCATACCTAACTACCCTATTTCCTTTCTTTCTTTTTTTTTTGGTCATGGTGCTTGAACTCTGGGCCTGGGCACTGTCCCTCAGTTCTTCAGCTCAAGGTAAGCGCTCTACCACTTGAGCCACAGTGCCACTTCCAGATTTCTGGTGGTTTATTGGAGATAAGAGTTTCATGGAGGGGCTGGGAAGGTGGCTCAGTGGTAGAGCGCTTGCCTTTTATGCCTGAGCCCCGGGGTTCGATTCCTCAGCACCACATCAGCAAAAAGAAAAAAGCCAGAAGTGGCGCTGTGGCTCAAGTGGTAGAGCGCTAGCCTTGAGCTGAAGAGCTGAGGGACAGTGCCCAGGCCCAGAGTTCAGGCCCCACGACGGGACCCAAAAAAAAAAAAAAAAAAAAGTTTCACGGACTTTCCTGCCCAGGCTGGTTTTGAACAGCAATCCTCAGATCTCAGCCTTCTGAGTAGCTAGGATTACAGGCATGAGCCACGGTGCCTATTTCCTTTCTTAAAGAAACAACAAGCAAAAGACAAAGAAGCAGGGGGCTGGTGGCTCACACCTATCTACCCAGGAGGCTGAAATCTGAGGATCAGAATTTGAAACTAGCTTGAATAGAAAAGGTCTGAGACTCTTATCTCTAACTAACCAGCAAAAAGCTAGAAGTGAAGGTATGGCTGAAGTGGCAAAGTACCAGCCTTGAGTGAAAAAGATAAGGAAGAACATTTTGGCCCTGAGATCAAGCCCCAGTACACACACACACACACACACACACACACACACACACACACACACACACACACACACACGGAAAAAAAAGACAAAAGATTGGTCTCTAGCTGTGATGAGGAAGCCTAGAAGGGCAGAGGCAGTGGAGAACTGCCCTCTTCCTCTCCTCCCTCCTCAGTTCCCTGACAGGGAGCAGGTGTCTCCTACAAAAGCCACACGTCATACATTGTCCTCTCACTCCAGCTTGAGTTCTGCTATGGAGGAGTAATTATAATAATTGAAGTACTCCAGGGCGTGAAAGAGAGAGAGCTGTTAGAAGCACATAGGTCGGAAAGCACAGAGAAGCCTGGTTGGGCCCAGAATTCTTTGCTTTCTTTTCTGCCATGATCTTTGATATGGTGAAAAGGACCCCAGATAAATATATTGTCAGCTGAGCTGGGTTTAGAACCTGGTTTGACTACATTCTCAGCTAGGTGACTTAAAGCCAGCCATCAAACACCTCGACCCTGTTTCTTCATCTATAAAATATGGGTAATAATAACTACCTCATCAGTCTGTGCATATTAAACAAGCTAATATGTACATAATCTCTTCATAAACCATAGAGTCATATAAATGTATGACATCCTTATACTAAGACAGGAAGGAATGAGAAATTGGTGGTGGCACATTATGTTTTATGGAGTATAATCTCAACAACAAAAAAAGAGGCTATAAAAAGAGGTGAAGAAAATTAGTGCCCATGGAAGCCCAATAATTCATTTTCAAATACTGTTTTATAGGCAGGATAAGCTATTAACCAATGACAGGGCAGATTTGTTTTTCTGGTACCTGGGGCTGACCTCAGGACTTCAGTTTGATAGCTGAGCTTGGCTCAGAATTTAGAGCTTACAAGCTGGGCATCAGTGGCTTACACCTGTGATCCTAGCTACTCAGGAGGCTGAGATCTGAGAAGCAAGGTTCAAAGCCAGCCTAGGCAGGAAAGTCTGTGAGACTCTTATCTCCAGTTAACCATCAGAAAACCGGAAGTGGTGCTGTGGCTCAAGTGGTAGTGTGCTAGCCTTGAACTGAAGAGCTCAAAGACAGCACCCAGGCCCACAGTTCAAGCCCCAGGACCAACCAAAAGAAAAAAGAAAAAAAAAAAAAAAAGGAAAAGAACTTAGAGCTTGCTTATTTTGCTCCTTCATACGTTTTTACCACCTGAGCATAGCTTTTTGCTGGTTAATTGGGGATGGAGTTTTTCAGACTTTTCTACCTGAGCTGGCTTTGATCTGTGCTCCCTTAGGTTTCAGCCTCCTGAGTAGCTAAGATATAGGCATGCCACTGGAGCCCAGCTTGAATCTAATCTTTTTTTTTTTTTCCCCCAGTCCTAGGGCTAGAAATCAAGGCCTGGGTGCTAAAGTAATATTTCTTTCTCTCTCTTTTTTTTTTTTTGGGGGGGGGGGGGTCGGGTCTTGAGACCTGAACTCTGGGCCTGGGCGCTGTCCCTCAGCTCTTCAGCTCAAGGCTAGCACTCTACCACTTGAGCCACAGCGCCACTTCCGGCTTTTTTCATTTTGCTTATATGGTGCTGAGGAATCGAACCCAGGGACTCATGCATGCAAGGCAAGCGCTCTACCACTGAGCCATCTTTCCAGCCCCCTAAAGTAATATTTCTATGCAGAACTTATAGCAACTGGAAGTGTTGTTTAAGTGATAGCAAGCACAAATTCTTCAGTTCAATCTGTATCACCACCACCAAAAAAAAAAAGTAAAACTTGTAAAACTTTGTGGTCTTTTCAATTAGCTTCTCCATATCATTGGAAAATAATTAAGGGTGATATCACCTTATGTCTTGGAGAGAGAAAAGAAATCAGAAACACACTGATATTAGAGCATGGTCCAGGATCATATAGAAAGAGTAGGCATGATCTGAGGATTGTGGTTCAAAGTCAGCCAAGGCAGGAAAGTTTGGGAGACTCTTATCTCCAATTAACCATCAGAAACCCAGAAGTGGTGTTATAGTTCAAAGTGGTAGAGAGCACTAGCCTTCAGCAAAAGAGCTGAGGGACAGCGCCCAGGCCCTGAGTTCAAGCCCCATGACAGACCCTCCACCCCCCCCCCAAAAAAAAGGAAGAAGAAAAGAGTGGTCACATTGGAATTAGAACCCAGGCTAGCTGATCCCCAGTCCTATTTCTGGCTATTACAAAGAAAAAGGGTTAGCTGGATGCTGGTGACTCACGCCTATAATCCTAGCTACTCTGGAGGCTGAGATCTGAGGATCACCGGTCAAAGCCAGCCCGGGCAGG